TCATCTATTTTGAGCGTTTACCTTTGTCCTTAGGGGACTGAAAACAAAACAGAAAGAAAAGAATTATTTGCTTGAAAACATGCAAGAGTTAGCAGAACAGACCGGCATTTCTCTTCTGAGGCAACTGCTGCATAATTGTGTGCAATTCTACCAATTTAGCTTAGTGTTTTTTTCCCCCACATTGCCCTAAATGAAAGCAAGGACTCTCATTCAGAGTTAATCTGTCTAGCATTTTATATACTTTTACATGTCCTCAGAATAGCAATGTCTAAAAGGATGCTTTTAAAACTAAAACTACCCTCTTAGCACCTCAGTCAGGCAGAGGCTGAGTCAGGCCTCTGTACATGGTGCTAAGATATATATGTATTCTAATGCTAGGATATGTTTATTCTAGAGACACCTCATCTTTCAGTTCTCTTTATCCCCCTTATTTCTTTTATCTACCTGTTGTGTTTGGAGGCAGCCTGGGCTGTAACCTGGCAGGGTAAGGCCAAAGGAGGATTGAAACTGTGAGAGAAAACTACGATGCAGATAGTAATAGCGGTTCAATTTACTTTACCTGCTCAGTATGTCCTGAGGCCGTAACAAAGGACGTGAAGGTTTTATTTTACTTTTTATTTTTTTAACCTGCCTGGAGCCTACAAACAGGCTTCTGACCCTTCCATTCTGAATGCGAGACCTCCAAAAATCAAGTCAAACGTCAGGATGTGTCTGGCTTGGGACTGTACTTGGAGGACGTTTGGGGGAAGAGGAGCCCTGGCGGTGGGCTGCCTTGGCGTGTGTGCTGTGCAAGAGGCACACAGCTCTGCTGGAGCACAGAGCTCCACGGGGAGAGGTTTGCCCTTGTCACCAGGCAGCACTGCAGCCTCTCTGCCCTCCTGTGGGCCACCTGCGGCTGGTCAGTGACCCCCTCCTTTGGGATGAGCAGCAATGGCTGGTGCATGCCTCTCTGGAAGAGGCGAAGGCATTGTGCTGTGCAGAAAATGCTGGAGCAGTGACAGGGAAGACTTGTCGGGTGGGGGGTTGAATGAGGTTATTTCTCTCTCCACATGTAAGATGTGGCAAGTCCATAAGATGAACAAAGTACTAAGTAAATGAATGATACTAGAAATGTGCTTCAGTTGAAATGCCGGCGTGCCCAGTTTTGTCAAACTGAAGTTTCACTGGAGACTTCTGAATGTAAAAATGCAATAGAAACTAAAAGAAACTAAAAAAGAAACATCACTATCCCCCTTGGGCAATGGCAGAACGGCTGTCTTTTGATAAGTATTGCTCCAAGGCCCTGATATACAGGATACTACCTATGGGTGGTTGCTTGAGCCTCAGTAGTGCTGCACTGAAGGCAGTGGATTTCCACACAAATGCGAAAAAAACACTATCTGTGTGCCACCCTGGGCAGGGTTTGGGCTTAAGACACTACCACTTTGCTGTTCTCACTCAAAATTGGCGAGGCTGTATGTCACTTATCAGATGCTATGTCTAGAACAAATTTAGAATGAATGATTTTACTGTGAGTTTTAAGAAGTCTGTTTAATAAATACTGCTCTCTGCACTGCAGATGAATCAACTAGAAATACTGCCAGAGTGAAAAGATCACAGGAAGTTAAGGGCCAGAGCTAGAATTTATGCTCAGGTAAAGCCACGTTAACTCTCAGGGACCTTCTTGCTGACCTCTGCAGCCAGGTTACACAACCAGCTCTCAGACAGGAAAAACTCATTGCTTCGACTAGACAATGAAATGCTAACAGAAATAAATTATGTTTGCTCATAGAGTCCCATATCTAGGCAGAAATGTTATGTCCTTTGTACAAATATTTTAAGTAAATGTACATTTTAAACAGACAGGCGAACTGATAATGTCTTTCTCTGCTCCTTGGGATTTCTGCAACTGTTAATTTTTTTCTTTTAAATTCTCTCATGTTGTAGATGAGTGATATTCATTCTAGTGGCATTCATCACTGCACAGCAATGCAACTTTAGAAAAAGACTATTTACTCCCCTACTCACAACTACTTGCAGCAGAAAATAGTTACTTGGGCACCTCTCCTTGTAATGTTTCAACATGTGGAGCTAATGTATCTAAAATAACCCAGAATCACATTTCACAGAGACCCAGCTCTAACATAGATTCAGGTTCTTAATTGTGATTTAATCCCTTTCTTCCATGATCTGGAGTCAGATATCTAAAATATCTTTGTGGATATGCCCCAACTGGAGTATGAAGAGGTTACTTCTGTCTTAAAGCGCATGGATTTAAGTGAAGGGGTAAGTTAGTAAAAGGTGTAGTGCAGATGTTGTGTCCTTGTAGCCCATTGCTCTTTAGAAGTGTTATTCTCTAGAAGTCCTAGAGCAGCCTGGATGCTGCAGGTCTTTTTTTGGAGAGGACTAAGAAAACACTGAAGCAGGATAACTGACTGTTGGTTCTCTTTCACGTGTTCACCGTTTTTGACACCCTGTGCCAGTCTAATGTGAACTGAGTTTCAGGCAGTGTACTCTTAGCTATCTCTGTTGCAGTGCTCCCATTATAATTCTGAGACGTCCCTTGAAGATATAAGGGGATAGTATTCTTTACAAGAGCAAAATCCCTTGACCTTTCCATAATGTGAGGAAAGCTGTATTTAAAAAAAAAAAAAAGCCAGTCTCACCTGAGTTCATCGAGATCTTGGGTCAATGGTTTTTTTTACCATTTTTTTTATTTACAGTTTTGTTTTACATTACCTGTAATGCCTTGCAGGCATTATTGTTTCAAACCGTTATTTCAATTAAAAAATTTTAGCTGACTAATGGTGAATGACAGAGGTAAAGGTGACCACTGCCAGGTTCAATATCTCAACAGCAGAGCAGTAAACGGATTGTGTTCATTAAAGTAGTCAGCACAAACAAAAACAATGCTATTAAGTACTAATTTCTAGCACAGTAATACAATAAAGAAACCATGGAAGATTTCAAAGAGAAAACCCAGTGGTTCAAAATAGCTGCTTAGCTGCAGACAAAAACATGTCTTTTCTCTGTTTGTGCCCTCCAGTTCTTATTTTACTTATATAACACTGTAAAGTGTTATATACTATCTTATAGTAATGACATTCAACTTACAGAGTGTTTTTGTTGCAACTCTTAAAAGGAGGTCGGAGAACCATGACTGTAGGCAAGCAGGCTTTTTATTTGACTTTTTGAATAACTAGGTCTAAGCAAGAGCAAACAGAATTTTTCCATGAACTGATCTAATTTTTAGTGGCTAGGAGATTACACAGAGGATTTTTGTTACTGAAGAAGTGTCTTTCTTCTTCCCCCACAATTTACCTCAACTTCTTGGGGCATATTCCTCTTTATTTCTTACTGTTACTTTAAATAAAATATTATAATTGTCCTGACCACTAGCAAATGGGTTCTCCTTGAAAGTTCTTCTGTAATGTTAAAGAAGATATATTTTGTTTTACTCTGTACAGGACAGCAGTTTTGGTCAGACTCATTTATTTGTTGCCCTGTGCATTTTGTGTGCGTTTCTGAGGAATGCAATGTCAGATAAGATAGGTAAGGATTACTGTATGAAGACATCGTATAATGAGAGAAGTTGTTTCTCACGTGATCCTCTAGCAGCGGTGCCAACTTCAATAGCTTTGTGTAGGTTGTGAGTTTTGTTGTTTTTTCTTAACATTTCAGCTGCTTCAAGTTTTGTGATTTTTGTGAGGCCCTTATTGAGAAAAGAAATAAAATTCCTGGCCTCTCCGGTCAAAGTGAGGCTTAGACTCAAAACCAGGAAGACAAATAACATTTGAGGTTTCTAAAGTACCAGCTCTGAGTTTTTACATGTGCATGGACCAAGGTGGTCTGACTAATGATTTTTGGATATTTATGTTTGGAAATACTTGAGTTCATTTACTTTAGCGCCCTTGAACTCAACCAGTATTTGTTTATAGGAGATGTAATCAATCACAGTATTTTTCCTTTTTTGGCCATTAGTCTTGTGAAACATTCTGTTATATCCCACGGTTCCTCCATTAGTCTCAGGGCAGAGAACTGTGCTTGTTCAGCAGACTGAGTTATGCCATTTTCAAAGTGTATTTTATGACAGATCCTCATATTGAGCCTTGTAGTAAATTTGTTTACTGCCCTAGCCTTCATCTAAAATTCTCAGGCTCAGATTCCCCATCTTCCTCTTTATTGCTTCTGGCTACTTTGCCAGCAGACTCCAGTAAAGGAGAAGCTGCTATCGGACATCTTTGCAGGTAGTGACTTAGACTTGGGTGAGAAGGTTGAGTGCAAGGAGGGAATCCTCAAGAAACAGAGCAGATTTGTCTTTATTTAACATGCACTTTAGAGCAGCCACTGCTTGCTCAGACATCCTTCAGCTTTAAACTAGCTACCTGGAGGACTGATTGCAACGCAGCTGCTACATCTGCGAAAACACAGCGAAAAAGCTAGTGATTAGCCCATTCTAAAACACATGTTGCCAAGGGACACACTGTTAGCAATGACCAAGCTAGTGCAAAGCTTGTTCACATATGGCTATCCGTGTTGTGGAGGCACAAGGATGAAAATCAGCCATATATTCTTCAACAGTTGGTAAGGATCATGGTGTAAAATAACATGCACTTCCTTTTTTTGGATTTTTGATAATAGCATTATGTGGCTGAGTAAAAGAAACTGAGAGGAAACCAGTATGGTTTAACATAGTAAGAAAGTACTACTAGTAGATTGAGAGAGGTAGGTTAACTGTAAGTAGGTTGTTTGGGAGCATAACAGCGATCCACCAATTATTATGGTTTGTTATTTTGCTTATCTTTTCTTAAGGGTTTGCATTCAGTTCATTGTTCTTGTACATAAGCGCAACTCAGTGCAGGGCTTCTCCAAGGCTCCATTCAACCGATCTTGCTTTGTTTTGGAAAATGACCTGGAGGGGGGAGAGAGAGAGAGAGATTGCCTGATCTGCTCAGTTTTTCTTGCAGGTGGTGTGGAGCTGAGTGTTTTTTTTTTTTATTTTAGGTGCACTGCTAAAGGTGATGAAGGTTCACCCTAGGCTGAGAGAAGGCAAAGGAAGAGCAGAGCCCCAGCAGTACTAATTTAGTTTTATTTGGACTATCATGGAGGAATATTTAAGACAGTGATCCTCTGAAGAGGCTTGCCTCTTTTAAAACACTGTTGGATGTTTCTAAGCTGTGTGTACAGTCAGTATTTGTATGCAGGGCCTGTGTCTGACACCTGTTATGAATGTTAAAAGTCCCTTGAACTCTCTTGGCCAGTTCTTTGTAAACGTAGCTGTGGTGCTAAAGAAAGAAGAAAAGGAAAAAGAGAGGGAGAGAGAGAGTGAGAAAGCAACAGAGAGAAAAAGAGAGAAAAAGGAAGAGAAAAGAAATATCACTGAATTTCAGGGTTCTGAGGAAATTCAGATGTGAGACCTATACGTGAGCATGCAAAATCAGCTTTTCAGATTTTCCATCTAAATGCAGCACAAACATGATTTCAGCCTTTCTTCCTGCTCAACGTACAATTTTATTTTGGAGAGAGGAACTTATTAAGATTATAACATAATTTTTTACAGCCATCTTGGAGACTAGTATATGAATTGCAGTAGCTTAGATGGTCTTTTCTCCCCTTCCCTCTCCCAATAAATTGAAATTAAAGAATTTGTAGATGATTTTTGTAATTGCATATATGAACAAAAAGATTTTCTGTCTGAGAAGTGATGTAGTAAACATGAGGGGACATGATAAAATAGTGAATGATACAGAGAAGGTAGATCAAAAAAACACTAGAACTATCCCTTCGTGATCTGTCCCCCTCCCTGCTAGGCACCCTGCCTTTTGTATACTCCAAGGGGATTGGTTTTAGCTTGAGGAAGAAATAAAGTCCTGTCAGACTTGCTGACTGCTGTTGCATATTGATTGTCTAGCCATCCAGAGTATGACAGAGGTATGCTATGAATAAAAATAACCAGACCAAGGGAGACATGAGTATCATTTAGAAAAGCATCAGAGACGCAGCTTCCAGTCGTGTCTTTTCTAGTGAAATTTTTGTGGAAATACTAGGGTTAAAGGGTATTTCACTGAATTTTTTGACTCCAAATAGAATCAGACTGGTGCTACAAAATTTGGATCTGTTTTTAAAAATATGCTTAAAAATGCTTTTTAAAAAGTCGCATGTGTTTGAGCTTAGGGCTTCCCATAACACACTGGGGTCAGATGAAAAATGTGACTCCAGTTCTGAGTTTGGATTCTGCCATAACAGAGAAATTCAAGATTATCTCAATTAAAAAAAAATTTAATTAATTGTTCTCTTAATGTAAGGGAGCTGGGAAATGAGGTTATAGTGAAGCCATTATAATGGTTATAATGAAGAAGTACCAACAGAAAAGAACTATGTTTGAATTAAAGATGGAATAATTATTATGATTATTATATTTGAGTAAGAACTATCTGAATGCAAAGTGCTACATGATGAAGAAATAATTCTTATTGTCTGAACTTACCTTATAAAATTGTCTGGGAGGCAATCTCTTCCCAGTACCTTCAAGTGGTTGCATTTAGATACCGGGTTGCTATAGTAACTTATGAAGGCTTGACTGGTTTAACATAGTTTAAGCGTGGTAGTGTTCTCAGTCTGAGGCTTCAAATAAGACCTGTCATCTTTTCTTCTTTGTTGTTTGCATTAATTGTCTACGTTTTGATCCTCTGAGAGAAACTACAGGTAAGGCCTCCTAACCATATGTTTTCCACTATATGCATGGTTCTCTGTTACCCTTTAAAGTAAGCTGTACTGCAAAGGAAACTAGACCAAATTATTGTCCTCCGCATGGTGGCAAAAACAGTTCAGCCTTATCTTTCAATTCAAATCTGATTCTGTTTAAATGTTTCAGAGCGTGGGGAGGAAGGTGTCACTTTGACAAAACTGTAAAAATGGGAATAAAAACAGCGTTAGTCACATTTTTGAACAAACTTTATGTTTGAGTGTCGTTGTTGACCTTGCAGTGGAGACAATTTAAAGGTTGGCCTTTTGTTGGTGAATCTATGAGAGCGTGACAGGAAAGCCAGAGGCAGTGCTGAAACATATAACATTTCGGAAGAGTTCTCAACTTCTCAAGATGAGATTTCACATCAAGCATGATGGATTTTTCTTGATTTTGCTTAATGGGTTTTGTGCACACTCAGTTTATAGGAATGTATTTATTAGAATGAGACTCTGAATTCAGACAGAGAAGCCACTCTGACTCTTGGTCAGAAAAATGATTATAGCTTGTACAATCTGGATCCAATCTCTTATTGAAAGTTATTTGAAGTTCTGGCACACGTTTGCACACCACTGCTGTTTTCTGTACTCTTTTCTTCCTTGGCGTCCTGAACTATTTATGAGGGTAGTCAAGGCAACTGATCCTGCCAGATCTTCTTGAAAAATAATTTCCTTTATAAGGAAGTATGGAAAGACCACGATGTCAGTATCATTACTAGTTTTCTGTACTCACAGATACTTATGTGAAAAAATAAGATAAACAAACACATAAAGCTAGAAGTAAAAGCATGATACTATGATATTTTAATGTAAATATCTAGTGTTTTTCTTCAGAAGAATGTCAGTGGCATTTAGAAAGATAGGTCTAAACCATTGTGTCTTTTTACACATGGGGAAACAAGGAGCTGAAGTGATTTAACCAGCACAGCCAAGCGGGCTCACTACAGTGCTGGGAACAGGACCTGGTTCTCCTTCCCAAACCACTAGTTAACCCACTAGGATGTTCTGTAGTGCTTTATAATAGTTCTGATTAGCATTTTCTACCTATCTGGGGTTGGTTGCTATATAAATTTTTAATATTTCATTCAGTCCTGCCATGATAGCTTTGGCCATCTGTTTTCCTGCCAGCATGTGTGCTGTTTCTTCTGTGACCGCCTTCTGCTCAGAACAGTCTCCTTTGACTTCTCCTTTCCCTCCTCATCCTCAAAATCTACATATACTAAGATATTGAGAGAATGCTGACTACCTTCTGATGGTTACAAGGCAGAGAGCCAGAAAGGATAACTAAATTATGATGTGTGTGTGGCTTATAGCTTGACCTCTATTCAGTTTTACTGAACACTTCCTATCGATGCAAGGAGATGATACTCCATTCACAATATATCTTTTGTCATCCCATTGGAAAGTTGCCCACATGTGGCCAAAATAAGAACCTCAGTTTATACAAATCTCAGTTTATACGTGCTTAAGGGAAAGGCAGAGGTGATCTTAAGATGTTGAAAGTTTGCAGGCTATATTCCCTCAATATTCTTGTAGTTCCCTCTATTCCCAGACATGCGGTGGCTTGTGTCACTTGCTGCAGGGCCTGACTCTGATATTTTCTCTGAAGTTGTGAGGATTTATGATATCAGAACTGAAATGAGATGTGTATGAAGAAAATGGATGGGAATGAAACTTTTTTTTTTGGTGTATTTACCCATACTTTTACTTCTTGTTGCCACACACATGCACACAATCTATCTTGTCTGAGTCAGGCCATGGGTTCCTCAGGAGAAGAAATCTGCCACCTGAGTGTGTATGAGCTTTAGCTAGTGCACTTGAATATGTTCAAAGTTGGAAAGCAGACACTTAGAAAAAGTTTCAGGAAAACTTCCAAAATTTAGAACAGGCCTAATAAAACTTCATTACCTCCTTTTTCTCTTGGAATTATAAAAGATGTCATGCTGAATTTAGAGAATGGAGATCTGTCCTCCCCAGATTCTCTGTGTGACCAGATGACTATCAACAGGTGCCAGCTTATGCATCAGAAGAGCCGAGCATGAGATGCAAAAGGTTCTCAGCTCATGTAAAAATTATCAACTAACTGTTTTAATACGTGGCTTTATTTCCATTTGGCCAGGTTTTTTATCTCCCCCCCGCCCCCGCCAACAAATTATTTGCATAAAAAATTCAGAGTTTGGGTAGATATCTGGCTGAGCTTACATGTCAAGTCACAAAAGCTATGGGGTGCATGTACAGAAGTATTCTTAAATTGTGTTTCTTTTTATCATTTAGGTCTCTCAGCAGCCAAATTGTTGACTGAGTCAGGCTTGAATGTGGTGCTACTGGAAGCCAGTGACAGGGTTGGAGGAAGAACTTTCACTCTAAGGGTAATTACCTCCAAGTCTGTTCATTTTATATGTACATATACGTGTGTATGTATGCATACATCTTTCCTGCTCAAGTAGCTACTTGAAAGAAAATTTCCGGAGCACTAGCACGTGGGAAGTTTCTGTTCCTGTGCAAGTAAGGGTAGGGGAAGTCTAGCATGATGATGGGGAAAGAAAATTTCCATGTCATCTGCAGGTTCTCGAGTCATCAGTCCTTCCTTTTGGGAAGGAGAACATGATTAGCTAAGTTTCAAAATCATGTCCTAGGGAGAAAGACTGGAGAAGCCTCTATTAAAAAACACCCATAAGGTGACTGGGCTGCTAAGCCCCTCAAGCTGAATTGTTACAAGCCCTGTAAGGAGTGACATAGGATAGGGGAAGGGGTGGTTGGTGACTAGAGAGGTGGTTGGTGACTAGAATTAGCCTTTCTCCCCTGACGCCTCTGCCTTGTGTTTTACTGTGACCTAGGAGACCCTCTTCCACCCTGCCCATTAGAAAATCTCACCTATGACACTTCCTAGAATACGCCAGTATAATCAGTTGTTGGCAAGATGCCTAGCTGAGCAAGAATCACACAAATATCTCTGGCTCTGTGTTTCTTTCTCTGCCTCTCAGGCTTTCCTCTAAAGTTTTTTAGTTGGGTGGCTGTTCAGTCACAGCCTCAAGCTGGTGATGAGCTCTGTCGGAGAGTCTCGGTGGTGGCCACTTCAGAACTCCACCAGAACGATGCAGGGTGGGAACGGGGAGAGGAAGCAGGGCCAAAATGCTCTGGGAGGATTTCACTTGAAGAGTTCCTCATTGAAGTCATGTGCTATTTGCAAAGGTCTAATTTTTTTTATCTTTGTTTTTCTTTTGTGTATGTTGTATGTGATAAACTAGAATAAGCAAGTTAAATATGTGGACCTTGGAGGAGCATATGTGGGACCAACACAAAACCGTCTCCTGCGGTTATCTAAAGAGTTAGGAATAGAGACGTATAAAGTGAATGAAGCTGAACACCTGATACACCATGTCAAGGTAAGATGCTGTCTCTTAAGCATGCTGCTGTAGACACAGGTACGTTGTAGTGATCTCATTGTTTTGCAACAGTGTTACAGTGGAGTATGCTTATTTAAGTATGTATCATCTAAATTTCCTGGAGAAAAATGTCGGATGGTAGTTGACGTTTAATCAAAGTTTAAAGAAAATATTGACAGATCTAAACAGTAACAGCAATAGAGAAAAGGTATTTTGTCATATATTTTCCAGTATTTTTCCCATTCAGCTGTTATGGAAAAGTATGTTCTCAGACAAGTTTAAGACGACTGTCAGGAGTTATTCCTACCATGGTAGGAATGATGAGTGCCTTCCATCTGTTAAGCGTGCCATTCAAAGCCAAATTTTCTGCTTGTTTGCACTTTTTGAGTCTTCAGAGTCTCCTCAATAAAAGTAAGAAGGTCATGCCATGAAGGGAAAATTTAGTGCTAGAAGAACATGGACGTGACCAATCTGGATGGCCAGCTCTCAGGACAACTGTACTGTCCTAGCATACGGGGTTACAAAATGCTGCCAGAACTCACTGAAGTAAGCTTAGTATTGCCAAAGCTGGAGCTGGTGTGCAGGTATCATCTGTCATCAGCAGCCACAAGAAGCATGGCTGCTTGTTTGTAAGCTGGGTCTCATTTTGTTTTAGGATCTCTAAGAACTACCTTGTAAGGGAATACTGGTATTAATATGCTGACTGAAATAGGGTATTGATCCAGGCTCAAGATCGGTGCATCCCTCTGAGTAAGAAGTCCAGCAAAGCGGGCAGGAGACCTGCATGGATGAGCAAGGAACTCCTGGCCAAACTCCAACAGAAGAAGGAAGTGTACAGAATGTGGAAAAGGGGATAGGCCACTTAAGAGGAGTATAGGGACGTTGTCAGAGTATGCAGGGATGCAACAAGGAAGGCTGAGGCCCACTTGGAATTAAATCTGGCAAGGGATGTCAAGGACAAGAAGGGCTTCTTCCAATGCATCAATAGCAAAAGGAAGACTAGGGAAAACGCGGGCACGCTGCTGAATGGGGTGGGTGCCCTGGTAACGAAGGATACGGAGAAGGCAGTTACTGAATGCCTTCTTTGCTTCAGTCTTTACTGCTAAGGCCAGCCCTCAGGAATTCCAGACCCTGGGGACAAGAGAGAAAGTCAGGAGAAAAGAAGACTTGCTCTTGGTCGAGGAGGATTGGGTTAAAGATCATTTGTCCAAACCTGATATCCACAAATCTATGGGCCCTGATGGGATGCACCCACGAGTGCTGAGGGAGCGGGCGGATGTTATTGCTAGGCCACTCTCCATCATCTTTGAAAGGTCCTGGAGATCAGGAGAGGTGCCTGAGGACTGGAAGAAAGCCA